GAGTTGATGGGTGCAGCACACCAACATGGCACAAGTATACATATGTAACAAACCTGCTCGTTATGCACATGTACCCTAGAACTTAAAGTATAATAATAATAAAAAAAAATAAAATAAAATACCATAAAGAAAAAAAAAGAAAACACACTTACAGGACAACACTCAATCCTCTTTGAATACATGGAAAGTCTTTTCAATAAGGATGGGCCAAACCAAGCACAAACTGTGAATATAGGAAAAAACACCTAACTCTTCAATGTTAAGATATTAATAAATGTCCATAAGCATCAAAAGCATCCAGGAAAACATAACCTAACCAAATGAACTAAATAAGGCACCAGTGACCAATATAGGAGTGACAGAGATATGTGAATTTTCAGGCAGAGAATTGAAAATAGGTGTCTTGAGGAAGCTTAATGAACTTAAAGACAATGCAGAGAAAGAATTCCAAATTCTGTCAGATACATTTTTTAAAGATTCAAATTTAAAAAGAAGAAAAATTCAGTTGACAAACTGAAAATGAATGAGAATCTCTCAAATGCATTATTAATCAAATAGAAAAATTAATTAGTAAGCTGGAAGATAAGTTGTAGGCTCGAGGTTCCAATATGGCCGAATGAGAACAGCTCTAGTCTGCAGCTCCCAGGATGAGCGACACAGAAGACAGGTTATTTCTGCATTTCCAACTGAGGTACCAGGTTCATCTCACTGTGGCTTGTCAGACAGTGGGTGCAGTCCATGGAGCAGGGGAGGGGGGCATCGCCTCACCCAGGAAGCACAAGGGGTCAGAGAATTCCCTTTCCTAGCCAAAGGAAGCCATAACAGATGGTACCTGGAAATTCAGGACACTCCCCCCAATACTGTGCTTATCCACAGCCTTAGCAAATGGCACACCAGGAGATTTCATCCAGCACCTCTCTCGGAGGGTCCCACACCCACAGAACCTCACTCACTGCTAGCACAGCAGTCTGAGATCAAACTGCAAAGTGGCAGTGAGACTGGGGGAGGGGCGCCCACCATTACTGAGGCTTGAGTAGTTAAACAAAGCAGCCTGTTATCTCAAACTGGGTAGAGTCAACCACAGCTCAAGGAGGCCTGCCTGCCTCTGTAGCCTCGACCTCTGAGGCAGGGCATAGCTGAACAAAGGGCAGTAGGAACTTCTGCAAACATAAACGTCCTGTCTCACAGCTTTGAAGAGAGTAGTGGTTCTCCAAGCATGGAGTTTGAGATCTGGGAATGGACAGACTGCCTCCTCAAGTGGGTCCCAGAATCCTGAGTAGCCTAAGTGGGAGACACCTCCCAGTAGGGGCTGACTGACAACTCATGCAGCCAGGTGCCCCTCTGAGACAAAGCTTCCAAAGGAAGGATCAGGCAGCAACATCTGCTGTTCTGCAATATTTCCTGTTATGCTGCCTCTGCTGCTGATACCCATGCAAACAGGGTCTGGAGTGGACCTCCAACAAACTCCAACAGACTTGCAACTGAGGGTCCTGACTGTTAGAAGGAGAACTAACAAACAGAAAGGACATCCACACCAAAACCACATCTGTATGTCACAATCATCAAAGACCAAAGGTAGATAAAAGCACAGATGGGGAGAAATCAGAGCAGAAAAGCTGAAAATTCTAAAAATCAGAGCACCTCTTCTCCTCCAAAGGAACGCAGCTCCTCGCCAGCAACGGAACAAAGCTGGATGGAGAATGATTTTGACTATTTGAGAGAAGAAGGCTTCAGATCATTGGTAATAACAAACTTCTCCAAGCTAAAGAAGGATGTTCAAACCCTTTGCAAATAAGACAAAAACCTTGAAAAAAGATTAGATGAATGGATAACTAGAATAAACAGTGTAGAGAGGTCCTTAAATGACCTGATGGAGCTGAAAACCATGGCACAAGAACTACATGATGCATGCACAAGCTTCAGTAGCTGATTTGATCAAGTGGAAGAAAGGGTATCAGTGATTGAAGATCAAATGAATGAAATGAAGTGAGAAGAGAAGTTTAGTGAAAAAGAATAAAAAGAAACAAAGC